ATAATACTTATTTATATTTAATTTATTATAAATTTTAATTATATAATATATATATATATATATATTAAAATATTAGTTATAAATTACAACTCAAATTCTAAGTACATGTTTGAATTCGCGCCAATAATTCACGTTTTAACAATTTGACACAAAAATAAGATATGATAGCTTCTTATTTTTATGTTTTTTTACACGTGTTGAGTCCAGTAAACGTGATTCCAAACACACGCTAAGCTGTTTCAAATTTTCAGGATTTTAAAAAATAATATTAAAATAATTAACAAAATACTAAAGTAATAGAAAGCAACTTTGAAGAAGTAAAACAGAGTTTTTGTTCCTTTCTTTTCCGGAATCTGATTCTATAAAAAGTAGATGTAGGTTACCCTTTTCTCTGATATCTTTACCACAGTACAGTCCTATTCTTAACTGTAGCATTTTCTTACTTTATATAATTATATCATTTATATGTTATTTCAAATATATTAATTTCTTGAACTTTCTTTGTTCTCTCCCTGCATGTTCTATGGGCTCGTTTTTTGTCATGTAACACAGATTTTCACGAGGGCTTGGCAGAGTCTTTCTTCGGTTTCATTTCTTTTGTTTTGTCTCCTTTCACATTCTTGCTAGCAAGGCCAATAAAACAACATAGTAAGTATATGGCTCATTCACATTGACACTCTTTCCTTTTCATCTTATCTCATTATTTTGGAGGGTCTCAAACAATGTATACTTTAACCACCACATTTGTAGGTTGCATTTGCACTATTTCTTGCAGTGAGTGAGGCAATGGGGAGAGCCACCAGGTGGGTGAAGAGCTTGTTTGGCATTAAAAGAGAGAAAGAGCACAAACAAAACTCAAAGTGTGTTGAGTCCAAAAGCATGGAATGTGCTAATAATTCAAGAGTTTTGTGTCACAATCCAGGTACTATACCCCCCAACATTTCCCAAGCAGAGGCTGCATGGTTGCAATCTTACTGCTCTGAAAAGGAACAGAACAAGCACGCCATTGCAGTTGCCGCCGCCACGGCAGCTGCTGCAGATGCTGCTGTGGCCGCTGCACATGCTGCGGTGGCCGTTGTTAGGCTCACCAGTCAAGGAAGGGGTGGCACCATGTTTGGTGTTGGACCTGAGATGTGGGCTGCCATCAAGATTCAGACTGTGTTTAGAGGATACCTGGTGAGTTTGTAATTTTTCTTTTTTATGTCCCAAAAATTTATATGCTTTTAGCTTCAATTGTAAGGGTTTTATTCATTTGATTTGGAATGTTGTTCTATTGCTTTTGGTTTTTGGTGCAATGTGGAGTGTGTAATTTTAAAATTGACATGAGTTTTGAATAGGCAAGGAAGGCACTGAGGGCATTAAAGGGATTGGTGAAGTTGCAGGCACTTGTCAGAGGGTATTTAGTGAGGAAGCAAGCAACAGCAACCCTGCATAGTATGCAGGCTCTTGTTAGAGCTCAAGCTACAATTCGGTCCCACAAATCTCGCAGGCTCATGAGCACAGAGAATGAAGCATATAGATCTCAGAGCCGAGCAAGAAAATCCATGGTATTGGCACAAATAACGGATTGTTGCAACATTTCTAAGCTAATTGCTATTTTTCTTTTTATCTATAGGAGTTATAATGATAACAACAGGATTCAAACTTTCAGAACATATGCATATTATTCTAATTCTTTACTACTAGGCCGGCCGTGATGGTTCCTAACCTAATTGTTATGATTATTCTAAGCTAATTGCTATTTTGAAATCATTGCAGGAAAGGTTTGATGATACTAGGAGTGAGTATGCAGTTCCCATACACAGTAGAAGGGTATCATCATCTTTTGATGCCACAAACAACAATAGTGTTGATGGGAGCCCCAAAATAGTGGAAGTGGACACTGGCAGGCCTAAGTCAAGGTCTAGAAGGACAATATCAGATTTTGGTGATGAACCATCATTTCAGGGCCTTTCCTCTCCCTTCCCAATTTCATACAGAACGACCCCAACACGTTTGTCCACACCATACCAAAGGAATTTTCAGGACTCTGAATGGGGGTTAACAGGAGAAGAGTGTAGGTTCTCCACAGCACAAAGCACTCCACGCTTCAGACATTCTTGTAGTTGTGCACCTATGACACCAAAGAGTGTGTGCACTGATAACTTGTTCCCCGGGCAATATTTTGGGAATTTTCCAAACTACATGGCTAGTACCAAGTCTTTTAAGGCCAAATTGAGGTCTCATAGTGCTCCAAAGCAAAGACCAGAACCAGGTCCAAGGAAGAGGCTCTCACTCAATGAAATGATGGAGTCTAGGAGTAGCTTGAGTGGGGTTAGAATGGAGAGGTCTTGCTCACAGGTTCAAGAAGTCATTAATTTCAAGAATGCTGTGATGAGTAAGCTTCATAAATCCTCAGAATCTGTTAGGGAAACAGATAGAAACTACTTCCACCAGAGGAGGTGGTAACTGACTAGTGAACTTAGGACAGATTCATAAAGATATCTACCTCTCTTTGCTTTTTACACTGTTAATAAACTCTATTTCTTCCCCCCAAGATTGGCAATTTGCAGATACATCGTTTGGTCTTTCTCATGGAATTTTCTTATATAGTTACTATAATCAAAATATCAAATGCAAGAGTAGCAATTTGCCGGTAGTTTAAACTCCTTGCATGTGTTGTTTTTCTTTTTATTACAGTAGAGTTTGTTTTTGTTGGTGATAATGAAACCTCAACAACTCAAATGTTGTAGACTTGTAGCTGAAGAAACCATTTCTAAACAAGATTCACGGTAAATAAAAAAATATTGGAGGAGAAACTAGACATAATAATTTTCCTATCAAAGAAAAAGAGGAGATGAAAGAGCTTTTCCTAAAGATGTCACAACATGGATCGATTATACTTTTGTTGTATAATATGTTAAAAAAAGTGTATTTTTTTTTCCTGTTCTTATGAGATGTTTGAGCTATGAACTAATGCTTTTCTTTTGGGACTAAAGTGAAGCCTGATTATATGCAGGGTCTAATGCTATTCTCACTCTCCTCTTTTATAATCCATTTGTTTTTTCTCCATGATAAAAGAAGTGTTGTGAAAAAAAGAAGAAAAAAAAAAGAGCGAGCCATAATATAATTATTCGTATGTGAAATGTGTAAACAAAAAATGTACTAACATACCTCTAAAAGTGAAGCAACATCATGCTATGTAAGACTTTTTGAATTACCAAGTAAATTTTGCTGTCAGATCATTGAGTGCATGAATGACTTAAAGCAAAGCTACATTGATTGTGTATAGAGTTCGGCATTTTCAACAATTAGAAACTAATGATAGGGATTTCGATTACCCAAAACAAAATTTTAAAAAATTGATTGGGGATTTAATTTAATGTGAAGGAATATTTAATGTCAAAGGACACTGTTGACTTCTGGCTCATGCATGGTCCGCAAACAGATACGTTTACTGCTATGTACAGTTTTTAATTGTTTTGAATTTTGAATGGGGTGGTAGAAAAAGAGATGTGTTTTTTTAATTGCTTGTTATTGTTGTTGATTTGGCCTTTGTTGGTTTCAAAACTTGTGTTGCTGTTTTTATGTTTTATCTCTTTTAGCCTCTTCATCAGTAACTTTCTCTACACATGGTCAAAGGGTCTAATTAATTTGATTAGGCTGCAATGTTAAATATTGATTAACTGTGGGTTGTAGCAAAAATAAAAATAAAAACATGTATTCGTAAAGAACATGTAGGACATTTCATGTGTCTTTTGTTCATAAAGGGAGTTTACAAACTGTCAAAGAGGTAAACTTTTATTTATATACTTTTGAATCCCTTGTTTTCTTTATATGAAAGAGATTTGAAACTTGTTTGAGAAAGTTTGTCTTTTAGAAAATAATTAGTCTTTTAAAAAAGTTTAAGGGAGTTAATTAAAAATGATTATGTTTTTAAAATACGTGAAACTTAGTTTGCACTTTGTATTTATTGACCTTCCCAACACTTTTTAAGTAATTATTAATTTATCATTATAATAACAAACGGATACCTTTTCCTCAAACCATTGAGAACATATGTAATGGTGCAATGGTGTGAAATTGTTTAATTTTTATTTTATAAAATTTATGTAGACCGTGTTATGATGTATCATTTTCTTTTATTTTTTGTTCAATAGTACATATCTAATAAATGTATCAAATGGACCCTTCAAATTGTCCTACAATTTTTTATTTATTATATTACATCACTTCTTTTTGGCCTTTTCATATTGTGTGGGCTCGTTTTTCTTTAAATACCAGCTCCTTAAATAAGCAAGTAATTTTATTTTATATTTGGCATGTAGATGGTTGCATATTAAGAAAAGTAACTGGTGAAGTATATAATAGACTGTAGTGACTATAGTATGACTGACTTAAGCATGTTTGCTTGTTTTTTTTGTCCATTGAACAAAGCTACAATAAAAAGAGATACAAACAAGCACAACCAGGCCCAAATAGTATGGTTTGGTGATGGAGAGACTACGGTCTTATAATGAACCTACGCGAGATGGGCCAAACGTGTAAAAATTTAAAGCCCAAATTTACAGAGATGAATAAATTCCAAAGGAGGTTAACAAATCATGCCGTGGAAGATCTTGATGTACAAAGTGGAACCTTGTATTTTTTATTTTTTTTTAAGGGTGAGAACTACCCCATCCTTTCCATTTTATTTTAAATTTTAATATTTATTATCTATTTTAATTTGATTATCATTTTACTATAATAATATAATGTTAAATATGTTTTTTCTATTATATCCTTGAATCTTTTAAATTTTTACGGATAATGAAAAAACACGTTAATAATAGTTAAGGATATGATAAAAAAAAAAAACATATTTAATAAATTGAAACGACAATAGAATGAAACAAATGAAATAGTTTTAAGACAGTTGCAATTATAAATTATAATTCATGGAACATATATTGAGGACTCATAAGGGCATTATTATCAAATTATGAAGCCGCGATATACTATATAATTTACAAATCAAAATGCTTTCTTTCACCATAGAAGTTGAAACTGAAAAATCCATATAAAAAAGAATGTGTGTATGAATGAGTTAAACTAGAATTTGATCCATTCAGTTCCATCAATAAAGGCAAGGGAAAGAAAAGGTTTGGCTTCTTCGTCAGTGAGTTCTCTCGACCATGATACTCTCCCTGCAAAGCTTGCTCCAGGTCCTGTGCATTTGTACTGTCCATAGAATACTGTCCTGTGGTGGACCCAATACAATACAAAAAACAAATATTAACATGACCACAAATTTAACTATAAAGTATAAATCCACCCACATGCGCATGCCAATATGTTTATAGCTGTATTCCAATTACCAAATAACCAAATACAATATATTATATTATATGTGTCAAGCTATGAGATTAGGTGGCTATACCTTATCTATAGTGGCAAATGCAGACATCAAGTTTAGTGGTTAGAATCTCTCCCGTTTGGTATTTAGTATTATCACTTTCCCTCAAAAGTTCTAAGAATTTCTTATTCTTTAGAAAGTTCCTACTTTGTTTTCTTCATAGTAAATTACATTAACATAAAGACTATCATAAGAGTAGAGTCGTTCATTTTTTTTTTTTATGGAGACTGGTTGGTTATTATTTTGTCATATAAGCATAAAGCTGAGGTGAATGGGGGCAAAGGGTGTTTGTGATTTAAGTGGGAAGTGTAGATAAAAAGCAAGATGACAAAGAAACCATCACACCCATACAATGGACAGTAAGTGGCACCGCCCCATTTTCCTTTGCATTGGTGTGTAGAAGTAGATAAGAGTTGTATTTAATTTTAGCATGTTTAGATACATGTTAGAAAAAAAAAATTGAGAATTTTTTAATTAAAAATAAATATTTTTAAGTAAAAAAATTCTCAAAATTTCCTCTAAACTTATATTTAAATAAATTTTTTAAACTATACTATATCAAAATAGATAAGATTATATAATAGTATTTGTTGTTATATCTTATTGTGTGTATAGATTATAAAAGATATTTATATATATAATCTTACAATGATAAAATATTATCTACTTTATATATACATTTTTATGATTTTATTTTGGGTTATTATTCAAAATATTTACACGAATTAGTACATAGGAGTTTTTTAATTTACTCTATGGGGGGGGGGGGGTTGTCAAACATCATTTCTGGTAGTTTTTTTTTTTTTTTTAGAGTAACGCATTGCCCTTTCCATTATTGAGATGACACTAAGTGCATCATCGTGTTGAAAGGTAAAATACTCTTAACAAGGTGCCAAGAGTTCATGGCAGATAAATTCATGAATTATGGGTAAAAGCTTAACCAAAGACATATTGGAATAGGGGTGAAGTATTAAATAATTGAAATTGAACTTGTCTATGTGGTAGAGAGGGAAATGAAGATACATACATTTCACGGTTAGGATCACCCCAGTTATACCAGCCTTTGGGAATGATGATGTTGTCCATATATGTGTAAGCAAAGACCACGCGAGAAAAGGGTCCCCAAGCCCTTCCAAGGTATAGTGCCCCTGATCCCGTGACCTTACAGTTCACAAATGAGAACCCTGTATCCTCCAACATACTACTCCTTCCTTGTGCTGTTACGGCCCCTGTATTCTCTGCTATGGCATGCACGTGACATCCCTATACATTACAATAGCGTCACAAACCTCTTTACCAAATCATTATTTTACCATGCTAATTACAAACCAACTTAATGTTACAAGAATAGAAGAAAGTGTTTGCACATTTTATGAACATGACAATTTGTAAATGAGTAAACAGATCACTTAATGCTGTTACATAATGAATGTAATACAAAGTTGGTTAGGTTATGCTGATGTGGCTTGACTTGAAACTGATATTTCAAGGTCTTAGTTTTTCTTTTTATCATTGCAAAGATTACAAAAATGACAACAATGTTTGAACCTAAGATCTGGTGTACATTATCTCAATTCTTACTTCAAAGTCAATTCGAGTGGTTCATCAAGGTTTTAGTTTAAAACAATGATTTCATGATTAGAGGTCTTAATTATTATGAACAAAGAGTCTAATTCTAACCTCAAACAGCGAGAGAGAGTTGCCAAATATGAAATCAACAGAGCCTTCAATGTAACAATCCTTATAGTAGTGTCTGCCCACATGATCATAAAGTGTGTCTTGAGCTCCTAAGAATTTGCATCCAACAAATGCTGCTGTATCTGCTGAAATCCTTAATGCCACTGCTTGCTTTCCAACTGCTCCTGGTGCAGGAACAGGAGTTGTGTTCTGCATTCACAATATGTATTATGCACTATGCTTGTAAAACAAACACACACATGAAGTTAAATTGAGATAGAAATAGTGGGAGGGATTTGTTTTCTTACTTGGAATGTGATGTTCTTGGCAATGAAATAAGGTGAATTAACAGCAAAAGTTGCTGAACCATAGGTTCCTAGTGGCCTTCCATTTGGGCCAGGTGTTTGAGCAGTGTCACCCCATTTAATAATGGTTTTAGCTGCACCAGCTCCTTCTATTGTTATGTAGGATTTCAAAGGAGGAATGTTAACTTTCTCCCTGGACATGTACACAAATGGAATGGGAATATCAGATGCATTCAAATGCAATTTACAATTCACTACAAGGATAAACATACTAGAAAAATTGAATAATGTAACATGAAGATGGGGGTAAGAGGACAGAACCAAAAGGCTATTACTTGCAAAATTTACTTCAGACAAAGACCAATTCTCTGAGAATTTGAATGGTAGAATCAGAAGGAAAAGGACATTAGAAGAAACAAAAGTTGCCAACATTATCGTTTTTCAACACAACTGACAATTTTGAATGCAGACAAACAGCAAAATCCACGTCTTACTTGAACAAACCATAAACTTGGCAGAACTCAAGTTAAGTACAAGAAAAAAAGGACTAGTACTCACGTGTAGACCCCTGCATGGACTTTTATGACCACTCTCACGAGATTGATGAATGGAAGAGAATCAATGGCTTCTTGAATTGAGGTGAAATCTCCAATACTAGGATTCTTATCAACGTGCAAAGTGTAAGAAGCCACAAGCTTATTCTTAGCTGCCTTAAAAACTGAGTGTTTGAGGGTACCAACAAAATTCACCCATTTCATGAATTGCTGTTCAGAATACTGCACTCTAGTCATGTTGGTTGATAAACCATTCCCTGAAGAACGTCTTGGTCTAAGTCCCTTGGTATGACAATGCACAATACTAGGATTTTGAAGAAGAACAAGAACTGCTAACATGCTGAACATGTAATGCAAGTTTGACATTGTAAGAGATACAACAAAGAGACAGAAAGGGAAAAAAAAAGTGTGAAATAAGATAATGCTTGTCGATATGACAAAGAGATAGAGAAAAGGAAATGATGTTAGTAAAAGTAATATAACACTAATGGGGATTGGTATTTGGAATTTGAAGTGCATTAGAAATTGGCTTGTGCTATGACTTATATACTAGTTATGGACTTATGGTGATTAGTTTACGTGTAAAGTGGAGCTAAATAAGTTTAAGCAATACTAAATTCAGTTTTTTATTAAGCAAAATCTTGGATTGGAGTCATATAGTTAAAAAGGAAAACATCATTAAAGTGGTTGGTTATATATATATTTTTTTTATAGAGAATAATTATTAATAAAATCGATAAATACTTGTATCAATATCATGATTAAAAAAAAAAAAAAAAGTTGTGCTGAATCAGAGACACAATGATGGAGAAGGAGAGGTCACGGGGGTGCTTCTACTGAGAGAGAGAGGAACAATCTCAACCACAGGACAGGTTGCACTTTTTGCGTAGAAAAACATTGTCACATAGAAATATTTGGTCATAACTCATTGGTCATCTTCCATTTGTTGGTGTTGTTTGTTTGTTGTTGCCCGTGAGGCTCTTTCTGTTTGTGCACGATCGTGGAATTATTCTTATTGAGATAATATAATGTTTTGAGTTGTACTTAAGTGCATTATGCAACATTTCATGTGAAGAATATAGAATTTGAGGCCAAGGATGGTGCTTATGCATGGTGAATATAGATAATACCTACTCTAGAATCATGGCCGTCCAATATTTGGACCTTCATTAATGTAATAAGATTCTTCTTGTTGTTTAGCTGGTTACTGTTATTTGACCACTTGGTAATGGTTCTGATTTATCAATTCTAAATTCCATGTAGTTGGTGAATCAGAGGAACTCTGTGGGCACCCAAAATGGACTAGGCACTTTGGCCAAAGTCATAACTAGTGATATGAAAGAACCTGCACTGAGACAAAACTACAATTTCCTTCGATCTTCCCCTTGTTCCCCTTTGTTCTTTTGTTATGTGGATTGTGGAGATAATTATTTTCTTTTGGTACATTCTGTGCACTTTTATAAGTTCATCATTCAGTGCTTCCTTTTTTTCTCTTTAAATATATCTTCCCAACGATAATTTATTGTGCTTATAATTTATTTTATGCTAATATTCATAAACACAACAACAAGGTTTCAACTTACGTCCCTGCATATATTAATTTCAATTCTCTATCGGTAGCTAGATTGACCTTTAAGAGACATTTAGTACAACAAAAGAATTTATTCTCTGATGTTGGAAATATAAGTTTTTCGAATTTAGTTTGAAAATATTTTTAAGAAATATTGTTTCTCGATAATATTTTTTTTATATATTTTATATAATTATTCTCATGAAAAGATGTGAAACTAATTTTTTAAAATAAAAATAAAAATAGTTTTAATATAATAAAAATATATTATCTTTACTATTCATAATCTATGGTATACATAAATTTAATTTATGTTATGTTAATATTAATAATACATAATAATTTAATTTTCTTAAAAATTTTATGATTATTATTATTATTATTATTATTATTATTATTATTATCATATAATAATTATTTGATTGTTGAAGGATAGTTTCGTGTCAAATCATGATTGTCTCTTGGTTAATGTTATATGACAAAGCATGTCATCTATTAATTGAACGTAAATTTAATTGATTTTTTTATAAAAAAATAATTTAAAATTATTTTTTAGAAATAATTATTTAATTTTATTAATTTCATGAAATAATTTTTAAGATATAAGTAATAGTTTGATAATTTGATACTTTTAATTTATGAGTTATTATGTGAAGTCTGTCTGGCTTTGTGTGTTTTTTTTAAAGTATTTTTTTAATGTAAAAGATTATTTTATTATAATATAATAATTATTATTTAATATTAAAACAAGAACTTTTTCTTTCTAACATTAGAAATTATTGGAACTAAAAAAAAATATAAAAATATAATAGTATTCTTTTTATTTTTTACTAAAGTATTTTTATAAATGACTTATATGAGAACATATAAAATATATACTATTATGAATTTACACAAAATATCTATATGATATTTTTTTATCAATCTTATAATTTATCTCTATGTTAATATATTGATAGTACATCGGATATTAATATATTCTAATATTCTGAAGGAAAAGAAAAAGAAGAAAAAAAAGAAAATATTTGATCAATATTAATATAAATTATATGATTAATGCATATCCTAAGAATCACAAATATAAATTATATAATAAATCTATGTCTCAAACAATACTAATATAAACTATATAATCAATACATTTTCATATTAAATACATAATTAATGAATTTAAATATGTTTTTAATTTTTATAAAATGAATGATTTTTAATTTTGATTCCTAAAAAAAACTTTGTTTTTCAACCTTTAAAAATTAAAGTAATTATTTTTAGACTTTGTAAAATAAGTATATTTTAATTTTAATTCCTATAAAATAATTTTTATAATTTAAAATTATTAGTTTTGCTCTATAACAACTCATACTTGAGATGGTCACTTAGTTCTCAATTAAAAGTTAAGTGAGTATTATATAATAATAGTAGGGGTAAAAAATAATAAACTAAAAAAACTTATCAAGACAAAAATAAAACTCACTAGTTTTTTTAAGAATCAAAGCAATAATTAAGCCTAATTAATATTTATTATTAGTATTTATTTTTAGTCCAATTGTGATTGAATCCATCGTTATCTAATTTTAGTATAATTGATTAAAAAGAATATGTTTAATCCAATCCAATAACCCAATTCAATCTAGTAAAATATAATTAAATCGGATTGAATTTATGACTCGATTTCGATCTATTTACACCTTCCATAAAATACATGGAACATAGAAATAATTAAGACTAGTAAAATTATGATTGATTCCGTCTCAATCCATCCATCAAATGATTGAAAAAAATATCCTCAATTTCACTCCAATAGTATTCTTTTTTTAAATTTGACAAATGAAAATACAGCGTTTGCATAAAAAAAGTTAATGGTATTGATTGACGTGACCCAATAGCTATCTTTTTCATTTTGTTTTATTTGGTCTAACTATTCTTCTTCTAGGCTACAATGGAACCCCACCCTTTCTATACAAAAAAAGGAGGTTTGGGCTTATACCAATTTGAAGTTATGTTGTTGGGCTTATACACACACCACAGACCACATTACACTTTCTGATTATTTCATGGCACTTGTGATTCACCAATTTTAGTCATACAAAATTGCCTATGAGGCCAAGCATATTCGGGACATCAATATTGTACAACAAGAATGAAAAAGAAAAGAGTCAGAATATTGAATTTTGGGCACTGAAAAGAAAACAAATTGAAAGAGTTGGATGAGAATTTAAATATTGCAAGTTGCATAGTCATACTCACAATGACATTTGATGGCAAAACATATACATAGGACAAAGACATCCTACTTAATTAGTTTGAAGAATCAGAGTGGGTCTTCCATTTGATTTGTTTCCATTCGAGATTATTTTAAATTCCATACATGTCATTTTTATCTTTTGGGGGAAAGCAGACACACTTTTTTCTATTTTCTAATATTGTTTCAATCTATTAAGAAATTTCTCTCTCTTTCTCCTTGAAAAATTTTGGAATCACTTGTGGGCGCCTTCTCCACAAGAAATATTGCACTTCCTGATATCACAAATTAAAGGTCCATCACATATGCATCCCATTCAGGAGAATAGCCAAAGAACGTCTAAACTAACACAAACGATCCACAGTAATAGTAAAGTAACAAATAATAAGAACATCTCTCATGTTGGAATCTTGTTTAACTCACTTTTAAAGCACGCCAACTTCTTCATCTGATACAACAAAACTTAGATAGAGTTTTAGATTTAAATTAAAAATTTATCTTTATAATACGCGTTGGTAACCAATTACAACATCACAACCCCTCTCTCTCACAAGAGAAGCTAAGTGTTGAAGATTAAGAGCCTCAAAGAGGAGAAGAAAAAAATTAAAAGGCATGAAATTCCAGAGACTAAGTATGAAAACAAGCAGCACTGCTACTACAGCCTTGATACTCATAGGTCATAGCCAGCTCTTACTTGTTTCTTCTGATGACACCAACCCGAAAATCCACGTACCACTCTCTCTTCATATCCAATTCCCTCTCAGACAACGCCTCCATATCCCACCACCTTAGAACTCTCACACGCAGACCCCACGTGGCAGGTTCTCAAGCCAACGCCGAAGCCGCATCATACGTTGTCTCAGTCTTCACCTCCTCCAACATACCATCCCACGTAGCATCGTACGAGGTTGCTCTCACATACCCTTTCTCACGTTCCTTGGTTCTAACCAACCCGCCACCACAACCTCCCACAACCTTCACTCTCCACCAAGAAACCTACGAGGGTGATCCTTATGCTGACGTTGCAGACGAGGTTGTCCCCACGTTCCACGCGTATGCCAACTCAGCCACTGTGGCTGCTCCTGTGTGTTATGTCAACTATGGAAGAGTGGAGGACTATTTCACACTGAAGGAAAATGGGGTCAATGTTTCAGGTGATGTCTTTTTTTTTTTTTTTTTTTTTTTTTTTTTTTTTTTTT